TCTAACCGGGGGGGGGGGGGGNGGGGGGGGGGGGGGGGGGGGGGGGGGGGGGGGGGGGGGGGGGCGGCGGCAACAAACATATGCGCCCAATGTTGGAGTTTCTCTTTCAAAGAGCCCGAATATCACCAGTTTCCATCCCTGAAAAAACAATAAATTGCAGAAATACGTTGCACGACGAATACCTTTGGCGGGGGGAGCGGTGGACTGGGACTGGGGTATATGGAGCACGAGAGGGGTGCAAGTGCATGTGTGTGGGGGGGGGGAACCTTGCGAAGGGAAAATAACTCATTTTACTCGCCCTGTAACGGTTCCCGATGTCCCACTTGCTTCGCTTCCCGCGAGAGCGGGGCCACGGGCCGGTTCCGCCCGACTCGGGAACGGCAGACCAAGGCGAAGGCTCCTGCCGCTGCGACCGCTCCTGCTGCTGCTGCTGCTGCCCCGGAGGTTCGCCGCTGCTTCTGTAGGGCGTCCCGCCGGGGCTGTAGCCGGCTTCGCGGCCTTCGGATTCATGACCACCGGCCTTGTTGTCACGGAAAGGAGAGCCTTCCCCAACGTCGTCAGTAAGCTGGGAACAAAACAACGACGACGCAAGGCGGGGGGTGGGGGTATGAAGAAGGATTCCAGGCGGGTGCAATTGGGGATTGTTCGCTTGAAGGTGCCGGGGCTGATACCATCAACACTCGGAGGACAGAGCGGTGCTGTGCACAATGGATTTACGCCCGTGTGTCGACAAGCATGGAGGCGTCGTGGGTTCCCTCTGCGCCGCGCCCTCATGAGCCGTGATGACTCGCACCGGGACAGGCTGGCCGCCACCCGAATAAATTCGTCCTCATGTCGGAATGAGAGAGCACGCATGCCCCTTGACGGTTTCTGCCCAACGCGTCCGCAGAAAGGTACCACTACCACGTTACAAGCATGCTGGAGTGAGAGAGCGACCACACACTCCGCCCCGAACGGTTTCCGCCCCCCGGGTTCACAGCAAAAAAAAAAACGATCACGTTACTGTACCAACCTCGTAAACATTGTCGTCATCGTCGTCGTCGTCGTCCCCTTCCCCTTCGTCTCCGATCTCCGTGTCGATCACATCCTCGTACAACACCGGCGGGGTCTGTTCAAGGTCCCCCAATCCGGCGACCCCTCCCCCTCCTCCCCCCCGGCCTTCGTCCCTTCCTTGTCCGCTAGGCAAGGCTCGCCGTACATCGTGCTGTCCGCTGTCAGACCGATCGCGTTCCCCGCCGCCGACAACCCTTGCCGTGTCGCCCATTTCCTGCGGCCGCCGGCAGCGAGCGCTCTCCTCGCCCGACACGCGGCGCTGAACCGCCTCATCCGCCCTCTGCTCCCACGCGGCTCGGCTTCCCTCTCGCGAGTCAGCACCCCCCGTGCCGGCCATGATCGCCGCCGCCGCCGCCGCTGCTGCGCCGTCGCCGCCGCCGCTCTCGTGAGCGCTCGCGTCCGTGGTCGCCTGCTCTAGCGTCGGAGACGGCGGCGTCTCCCGCGCTATGCCGCCACCGCTGACGCTCCGCTGTGGCTCCCGACTGGCAGCAGTCTCGACGGTTGTGGGAGTGGCTGCGGCGGCGGCAACAGTCGGCGGGGGCGGCGGCGGCCCCGCCTGCTGCTGCGGCGGGGTCACGCTTGCGGTGGTCGGGCTTTCGGCCACGCTCGGAACAAGCATCCCCTGGGACGACGAGGCGTAGTCATAGCCAGCGCCGCCGCCACCGCCGCCAGCAGGCCTTAGGGCTACCGCTCTGGGTGTGGGGTGTGAAACCGCGGCCTCCACCGCCGCCGCCGCCGCGGCCGTTGCCGAAGCGGCGTGTGGGGGAATGTTCTTGGCAAAGGTTGCGTACGCCGCGTGAGGTGTCACCATGGGAGATGTCGCGGGGTTCTGGGAGGGCGGAGAGGAAGACGGGGAAGGAGCCCGTGTTTGTGAGGGGAGGAAGGTGTGGGGGTTGAGAGATGGAAACGAGGCTGAAGATGCACATGGAAAGCCGGTGTGTTCGAAAAACTTGCAACTCGTGCGGGCAGAAACAAGACAACTTTCGGAAATCCCGCTGTTTCTTGTGTGTTGCGGTTCGGTGGGGCGGGGCTGCAGCTAACGATTCTCACGTTGCAGGCAGGCTGCAGTAGTACGCCATGGGCCGCAACCCTGCTAATGACAGGGGCCGCAGCTAGGTATGCCCCTGTTTTACGACGCACACGTGCATTCCAGGACAACTACGATACTGTGGCACAGCGCGCGACGTTGGATGGAGAGCTGGAACACCACCCCACCCCCGAGCTCCTGCCCACATAGACACACATCAAGCATTTTGACTCACCGCACGAAGGAAAAACGTCGAGGCCGGGGCCACGGTTACCGGTGACGTCATTTTTCCGGTACCGCCCGCCGATACAGCCCCCTTTGAGAGGGATGTGACACTCTGCTCGCTGCCCAGCAGCTGCCATGAGGTTCGAGGTTTGGTTGCAATCAATTGAAGCAGCGCGGTGTGTGAGGGGCCGAGCGAAAACATGAGAGCGCAATGCTACGTGTATCTAGCCATGACATCAGAGAGAAAAAATAGCAAACGTAGGAGAAAGGCTAGCTTTTGTGACAACAGGCGACGGTTCAGCAATGCAGGCTGACATTGGGTTCGCAAAAGGAATGAATGCATGCGTCCCTGCAGAAAAGGGTGCCATGTTTCACCAAACCCGCTATAGTCCACGCCCGATTGCACCTAGAATGTAGGTCACAACAGAGCAACAGCGCTCGAATCCAACAACTTAACGCGACAGAAAGACACAAGGAACTAGGCATGCAAGTCTCCTGGTGCTGCTTAGCGGAAAGCCCGCATTAACCCGCGAAGTAACAGCAGTACTAGCAGCGTTTCCGTAAACATCAATAGAAACAACACAGACAGGAACAAACAACACAGACAAGAGAACAAGCAACAACGACCACGACACACGACGCCCGCCCGCCCGCCCGCTCGCACGCACGCGCACGCAGCAAACGAAAACAGCAAACGCGGTCTGACCTGGTAGCCCTCTTCCCCGGTGAAAGAAACGCTCTTTCTCTGCAACTTCTTCTTATCCGGGAGGTCCCGCGCGCCCTCTAGTCTGACTCCTCCCGCGTCCATCCCGACGCCCACCCCTCCCCCGCCGACCCCACCGGCGCTGCTGCCCATAGAGTTGCTCGTCCGATCGCCCGGTACCACCATACCTCCCACCGCAAAGGCGCTACACTAATAGCGTAGAAAGATCAGCAGCTGCCGAAAGAACGAAGGAGTCAGATACTTTCGTTTACTCCGTGCCTCTGGTGGTAAAGCACTGCTCCTAGAGGCTTGTTCCTGCGGCTCCGTGCCGTAGAAGGAGCGCTGAAGCGATCGGCCGGGACACCACAAACGACTGGGGAGATTCGACCCAAACGTTTCGCCACCTGCTCCGCCGGCCTCCGGGACGATTTCTCGGAGCGGTTCTGCCCGCGGACGGGATGTCACTTGATATAATCGACCGTAAAGGGAGGCGTATGGCGGAGGTTGGGGGGCATAGGGATAAGAAGTGTGGTGGCCGTTCACTGGCACCGTCAGGATTCGGAGAGGAGGGCGTGTAGGGGGAACCTCCGAAGGCTGGAGGCGTATATGATCGTTGAATGTACGAAGTACGACACTTGGTTGTATGCATACACACGGAGGTCCCGCAAAACACCCGCTGGCCGACGACCTATAGTACTCGGTCCCCATGGTGAAGCAAGCGGCTCGTCTTAGGGGGCAGGCATGCTCCCACTCATTCGTGCATGTTGCTATGCACATTCCTCCCTCCGAGCGTGCCTCGCCATCGGCACAACCCAACCACAAAAAGACTCGTCCGCTTACCCTTTCGCGCATGCAGCGTAGGAAGCACAAAGTAGTTTTGGCATCATTTACGGCACCCCGCTTCCTTTTCAAAAGGATATTTCTGTGTAACTCACATCCAAATGGATTGCTAGGCTTCCGAAACGACTGCTGTGTTGGCCCCGTTCTACACGCTGTTCGCAATCTTCCGCCTTGGCTGCATCTCGTAGACACTCCGATTGAGTAGTCGGTGGGTTTGTACTTGATGGGTCGCGTTTTTGCCTTGGAATTGGGATCAGAGAACGCGCTTGCAAAACGCCATGCGAGAAAAGCTGCGTATGTTACGTCTTTTGCGGGGGGGGTGTACTCATAGTCGTGCATGCCGTAGTCGTTAAACCATTGACCTCGCATCCCTACTAAGCCGGGACGGAGCACGCCGGGTTCTCACCGGACCAGGCTCTCACATCACCAAGCGCGAAGCGCCGTGAGATATTCGGCGAGTCGCATGAAGGGTGCGCTGCATCCTGCTAAGGGTTTTCGGCATCTTGTGCTTACTTCCTTGCGTACGGATGACAGCTGCGTATGACTTAATTTACTTTCTGGTGCTTTCACTTCCAGAGACAGTTGTAAGCACTGTGTAACTGCCTCGAGGGTGCTTGACCATTTTAACACAACGTGGTGCGATCATCCCCCTTGCGCGGAGTGAGGGTTCTCCACCCCGCACAACATGATCTACTCGACCACCATTATGGTTACCACAAAAAAAAAAACAGAGGTAAACAAAAAAAAGGTAACCTGGTTGCCGAGAT